GTTTTCAGAGAAAATATATTCTCTTGCACCAACTATAGCAACAGGATAGTTTGTAGTTTGATCCTCGTACTTAACACCAGGAATGTAAGGATTGACTGCTTCCATATCTAATTCTTCAAATTCTGATAAAACAGATCTAATCTTCAGACATTCTTCAAGATAGTTGTCTTGGTTGGCATCAATCAATTGGATATATTCACCTCTGTAGAAAATCAAGGCATGATTTTGGTTATCAGATTTACCATCACCTAAAATTGGATTACCAGATAATTGAACTCTAAATTTAGGACGTCTACGACCATTTTCCATAAGTTCACAGTGACCATCGATTAAAGCAGAGTAAATTCTTGGTTCATCACCTTCCTTTAATGGAGGTTCTTCATCCAAGTAAGCAATTTGTAAATCAGGATAAGCTCTCAATAAAAATTCCGCATTTTCCATTTCATGAGGTTTAAACTTAGCTAATCTTTGCATAGAAACCAAAAACTTAAACTTCCTTCTTGCCATTTTTTCCAATTCCCTTTCTAAACCTTCAGCGTTACCACCGAACATTTGAACAATCTCAGGATTTTCAACACGGTATAACAGTTTAATAGCTCTTGAATAATTCATAAAACCAGAAACGGTACGGTACAGAGTTTGAGATCTTAAAGAAGCCCAAATACGAGTACGTAGAGTATATTCAGGAGCAGCGGATTTGAAACCAATACAATAGAAGGGTAAGTCATCAATTTGAGATTTTATACTATCTTCCTTTGAGTTATCATTAGTATGATCAATATCTTCAAAAGCTTCGGTTTCTTCAGCCAAAAATTTGGTATCTTTCACAAAGCAGTCCCATTCAACGGGATGTAACTGTTTCAGATATTCTAATAAGGTCACTCTTGAGAATTGATCTTCTTCACGGATAATTTCTCTTAGTGATAATAAAATTCTTTCTGAATAATGAGGTGTCAAGACAGTAAAAGTTGGCATATTATCGACAGGCAATGCTTCAGGCAATGGAATAGACAAAGATTGTGCAAAAAATGAAATACGACGTTCAGCTTCAGAGTCTTTTGGGAAAAACTCAGTATACACTTCTTTGCTAGATTTTTCAACTTGGGAAGTAAAGAAGGTTGGAGCTCTCAAGGCTCTCCTCCCTTCAATCTCAGAAGGAATTTGATGATATAGCAACTTCTGGACATGATCTATAGCCAACAAATGTTCTCTGTACATTGAAATAATAATAGCATTCCAAATTTGTGAAATCAAGACCTTCGGTTTGTATTTAACTTCCATTTCCTTTGTAGCTAATATTTTCAGGTAAATTCTCTTTGGCAATCTCGTAAATATATTTCTCCATGGTGTTAAAACTGACATACCTAGGTAGAATGACTTGCATACAGAGAATACAGTATTGATAATAATGTACCATAAATAAGTATCCAAGAAGAACAAAATGAAATCAGTAGCAATCATCAAACCTAAAACAATTTTTGGCTGCTGTTTACATAAGGCAGCACCCCACCATTTTTCACCGGCACACCTCATTGTCATTGTAGATAAGATTCTAATAGGATCTCTTAAAGACAATGTTAAAAAGAAATAAGATTCAGCAAATTTAGCACCGAACACAACAATCCAGACCAAATATGAAAGCAATCTATCCCAGCCACGTAATGGCGCAAAATTTGCGGTAAAAGTCTGAGAGGCGACATAACGTCTTGAAGATTTGTTCATATATGATGTAAATAAACCACCTAAAGGCATGACTGAGAAGAAAACTAAGGTCACCACAGCAACGAAGAACATTACGATAGCGACGATTTTAGCATCTTTCGAATACACTGTATCTTTATCATATACGAAGAACCAAATAATAGGAGCAATATTGATTCCGAGAATAACACAAATAAATATAAATCTTTTCCAAAGTCTTTGAGCACCGGCCCAATGTCTTGGAACAAATAACAACTCACATAGTGTGGCAGCTATTTGAATTAAACAAGCCAAAGAACCACCTAAAGCACAAGAGGCCCATCTATAAGCAGCCAAGGGTTGGTTATTGACTAATTGTTGATAATTGTGTGTGTATAAAGTTGGGGCATTATAAGCAGTATACATCCAATAAACGGAAGCATGCATAACCCAGATTCTGTTGAAATTTGTAACCATATGTAACCAAGTTCTTGTTTCTTTATAAGTTTTAAAGAAAACCTTTTCCCAAGGGACATCGCCTAATCTTTGATAACGTTGTTCAGCTGGTAAATCTATTAGTTTTGATTGATCATTTAGCACAATTTTTCTGATACCTTCGGGATACCAAAATAATTGATTAACATCATCATAACCTATGACATAGTTATGATCTTTCTCACGTTTGACATAACGACCGTCAGAAATCTCATAGACTTGATCTCTCAAAAAGTGATACAATGGACTGATGACTCTATTCAGATAATCACCTTCAGGTAAAGTCGGTAATTCATTTGTACTATTTGTGTAAGTATTTATATTTGTTTTTGAATTGTTTGAAGGGGAAGAACCTGACTCCAAATAATCTAATGCACATTTATAGATAAAACATAAACATTCTGCTGTGAATCTGATTTGGTTCGCTTCACCCCATATTAATAAATATAATGCTAGTTGTCTTGTCATTTCTGCAGGAGATAAATTCATCATTTTATATTTCCATCTAAAGTCAGCTGCCTCTAGTGAGTTATCACCTTTCAGCTGTTGTAAAACGATTTCAATATCCTGTAGTGATAAATTTTCGTTTGATTTATTTGGTAGGAAATCTCTATTCTTTTTATTAATATTTCTTCTACCAGAATTTACCTTTATATTTCTAAAACCGATTTCATCATCTAGATCCAGCTGTGAAGCAAAGTACCATTTCTTGTAATTAGCTGTATCACCACCGATGTAATCTGAATGTAAAGATAATAAAGCCTGAGAAGTTGACATTCTTGAGGATCTTGAATCTAATAACGTCATAAAATGATCAAACATATTTCTCATAGAATCTCTCTGAAAACCAAACTTATTCGTCAAATCGATAAATATATCTTCAATTTGCTCTATAGAGATAGGACTATTTACATCAGCAGTCCAAGCAGGATATGGATCATTACCATTGCCAAGTCCCATGTTGTTGGACATCCCCGAATCACTGTTCATCATATATCTGCTGCTGTATGAGTCGTTACTGCTGTTGTAATTGTTATTATTGTTGATATGGCTATTATAACTGTTATTTATATTATTATTTCCCACACTAGAGTTAGTATTATTATTACCTTGAGTATTTAGATAGTAGTTTTGCTGATGGTCATGTGATCTACCTTCTCTGGAATAAGCAAAATTTGAATCATGATTAGTATTAATGTTATTGCTATTATAATTCATTTGGTTAGATGATGAGAAGTTGTTATCAGCGTTTCTCGATCTTGAGTAGTCAGTAGGCCCGGTAGTAGCTGCATTTGCATGATTGTAACTTGATTGAGAGGCGTCATAACTACCAAAACTATTATTATCAGTATCCTCAGCTAAAGGAGTATGAAATGGATTATTTTCATCTCTGTAAGAGAAATCAATACTTTGATCATCAACACGATTGCCGTATTGGTCATAACGTTGAGGAGATGAATTATTCATGTATTGATCTTGATCTAGAGAATTATCATGGTAGGACATTTTGGAATCTTAATAAAAAACAGCAAAAATCAAAAACAAAAAAGTAACTGTTCTAAAGAGATTTCACACGCAGACGCAGGTGAATCGATGTTTTAACTTTCGATTTAATTTTTTTTTCTATTTGTTTTATTAGTTTTTGTCGAAGTTGATCTGATTGATTCTAGTCTTAGATTGAAACAGAGATGCGACAAAATACAAAAAAAACCTAAAATTTTTTAAAAAAAAAAATGATTAAAGAAGAAAACAGCGTATTATCAAACTAGTGAGAAGACCTGTAAAGACTTTGATTTTAAAGTTGTAGATCTCTAGTATATAACACTTTCCTTTCTTGTTGAAGTATTCGATTGTTGACTTTTAAAAATACTTCTACCTTCCTAAAGAACTTTTCCTTTATTTAGATAATCTTTAGAATTTATTATACGTTAGATTGCTAAAACTGATTGTATATTAACTTCTTTGATCTGTTTCAGTAATGAAGATGAAGGGAAGAACAGAAGAAAAATAAAAGTTCTTTCTTCCTAGTTTATCCCCAATATGGATATACGACACAGATTTGATTAAATATCTGAGCTAAAGTTGGAGATAATCTAAAGAGGATCAAATAGGTTCCTTTTAATCTATCAATTATCTTATTATATTTTTTTCTTCACCACTTCAATGAGTAAAAAGAATAACGAAAGCTCTCCTCTTTGAAAAAAGATTCCTTTGGATCAACAAGATGGGTTAAAAAAAAATTATTTTGTTGAGAGATCTAAAGTGATACTATGTGTGCTCTTGCCCTCTTAAAGATAAAGAATGGCTGTTTCTTAAAAAAATAAAATAAAAACTTTGATCCTCCTTCGATACAATTTTTTATATATATCAGTTTTCTGAGATCAAAATCGAAATCGAAATCAAAGTCGAAATCAAAATTAGAATTAAAATCGAAATTAAGTTCGAAGTCGAAATCAAAAATCTTAGGAAAAAAAAATTAGTAAAAAAGCGGAAAAGAGAGAAATCGCACAGTAAAAGTATGTAAGTTTTTAATTATTTTTTACTATAAAGCAATGGTGAAAATTAGAGTTTTTATTATGAAATACAAGGTTATAGAGGAGAATGGCTATTAAAAATTAATATCCAAGGTTAGATCAAATGCATTTGTGTGTGTAAATGTAAATGTATATGCATGTCTGTACTTACCAGCCATAGTAGATAGAGACACATCGATATCTTGCCTTGTTTCTAAATATGTTAGTTATATTATTATGTTGTTGACTTTTTTTTTTTTTCAGCATTTGCCTAGTAGTGATTGTGGTACTCACACGCTGGTGAATCTTCGTGAAGGGCTGTTTTTGTAGGGTGTCTCTGACTGCATGGTGAGTTGTACATATAAATAAATCGAACCAATACTAAAATATCCTGGCTATGGGCTTTCCTCTCTGTCTGTCTCTTGATTGTGCCGAACCAAATCAAAATTTTCAGTATTTATTTCAATTGGGAAAAAACGTGTCGTTGACAATGATACTCATTACACCAGATCAAAATTCAAATAGCACACAGATATTTGGCCGATTTATATCTCTGTTTCTTTTTTATTTAAAAGAAGAGTCCCTACAGAGGGGAGTGATAAGAGGTAGTGTTACCTAGTGCAAGATTTATTCTGTTCTGATCTATCTCTAATCAAATCATACCCATCCGTTTCCTGCAATATTTGCCTATTCATACTTTTCTTCCTTGCTGTAAACTGTCTATTCGTCCAATTCAAATTAATTTCAATATTTTTTGTATGTAATCTAATTGAATAGTACTGTTCAGATGGTACTGCTTGGTCGATTTGAACATCTGACGGCATTAGTCTACATACTACGATGTTGTCACTATCATAAACTGCTGAATTGCTAAACTCGTTCATCTTTTTCTTTTCTTTTCCTTTCTTTTCCTTTCCTCTATTGGGCAAGAGCAAAAGCAACCCTCTCTTTCCTTCTTCATCTGCACTCCTTCGCCCCCTTTTTAACGGCCCCTTTTCCTGTTTAGAAGGGCAACAAAATCAAAACGCGAACTGAAATTAAAATTAAAAAGTTGACGCGACACGCGTCAAACGCCAAGAAAAATAATTCATTTATGTATATATATTTTTACGCATCGCTGGTGTCTCTCCTTCGAGGCAGTGTTGCTATTTTTGGTTTTGGTCCTATGGATGCACAAAAGAAAAAAAGTTTGTTGCAGATCTCATACTTTTCCTAATCTGGCTTGTTACATCGTGGGGTGTAAGGTATTTACACGTTTACTTGCAAATAATTTATTTCTTCTAGCTTGGTTCAGGTAGGGTAATCTATATGCATCTCTCTTTTTCAGGTGTTGATTCAGCAGTGTAATCATCATTAAAATTGTATCTAATTATAGAAACACAAGTTGAATCATTCTATCATTTGTTTGTTAAAATACAGTCGATCATACTTACATAATGCCATATATATATATATATATGTGTGTGTGTGTGTGTGTGTGTGTCTTTGTCTGTGTGAAATAGAGAATATATTTTAATTCGAAGAAGTACTATATTATTCCTCATCACTCCTCACCATGCCTTTCGACAAATTCAACTATATTCTCAATACACTCTTCTGGCTTTTCGGCATTTACCCAATGTCCTGCATCGTTGATATCTCTAATCTCAAATTGACTGAAATATTGACTTATACCATGAATGTATTCATCTGCAATAAATCCGGAATTTACTCCTCGGATAAATAATATAGGTACATTACATAATCTATCTTGAGCCAGGACTGTCCACTCGGATATTTTACCACTTATAATGGCTTTTTTCAATATCTCTAATGGAATCTTACTCTTATACTTCTTCGTTTGTGGATCTCTCTTAATCAAACTCTTTAGAAATTGTCTAACCATAAGATTATCTTCGATTTCAGCTAATTTTTCTGTTATCTCCTTATTACCATATTCTTCACTACTATATATTATATGATTTAAAACATCGATATATTTGATGAATTTACCCAATGGCAATGTAGTGACAGGCGCATTCTCTATACTAACACACATTTTGACCATATCTTCTTTCGGATGTTTACGATCTTCTAGTATTGTAGCCTCCATTGCCACTTTGGCACCCATCGAGTGTCCAATTAATATACTGTCTTTTAAACCATGCTGTTTCAAAAAGTTCATTACATCTGCACTCATTAAATCATAGGTATGCTCTTCGTTGATTGGCGATTCTCCATGATTCCTAAGATCCAACAAATATACATCTCTTTTCAATCTTGTATGTAATTTCTGACCTATGTATCGATTATTCATTTTATTGCCAAATAAACCATGCATGATTAAAATTGGACCAGGGTTCTTATCCTTCAACGTATATGGAATTAACTTGTAAGCCAAATCAAGACTCTTGTTTCTAATCCCATGACTACGCAGAATCCTACTAGTATGAAATCCACATCGGGTTATATTATTAACACAAATACCCACACTCATTTGGTCTTTTACTTCTCAATCAATCTAAAATACCTTTACTTGATGAATTGTGTGTTCCTCTATCTTTTATCATTATTAAATACTAAATAATGTTCATTAAATCTTTTTCTTCCTTTATATTTCTTTAATTCTTACTTTTTTTAGCCCTCCATTTAAGATTTGATGGATTTTTCCGAAGAGCTCTCATTGGACTCTGTCATCCATTACCAGTAACATACGTAAATGGATAAAAGGTTATGACGATTAAGTATATTTGACAACATACTATTAATATAATTATTCATATTTATTAATAATTAAAAAATAAACTGTAGATATTATTAGTATTTTTTTTACCTAAATAATAGCATTATTGCATCACGCTTTCTTTCACCTTTACTTTCCTTATGAAACAATTTATGAAATTTCCTCTGCATTTTAAATTGGTGGTCACAATTTTCATTTCTTGTTGTATTAATTTCTCCTAACCTGCTGGAACTTGGTTGATTTTCTAGATATTTGAAATGTTTCACTGATTCAATACTATCATGACTTTTCAGCAATGAATTGCAACGTCGTACTACCCAATCTTTAATTACATGACGTTTTCTATGTAAAACTTCATTTCTATTGTTATTGTTAATTATTTGAATGTATGGAGTTCTGATACTATTGAATATATATTCATTTTCTATTGTTTCTACGCTTTCTTCTATAATTTCCTCCTCGACTAACTCAATTTCATTATTTACATTATCATTATTTACATTATCATAATCATCATTGATGCTAGCATCATTAGTCCCACTAGTTTCATTAACATTGTTAGTATTATTATTATCATCAAATACTGTTAACCAACCGAAATCTTGGGATGACACAGTTGTGATATTACATTTATTCTGTAGCTCTCCCACTAACATTTTGCAGATGTCATATTTATTAAACATTAAATCTTGCTCCTGACTGCTGCATTCATGATCATTAGCATCAGTGAATTGCTCGAATATGTCGTCTTCTTGGTCACTGTTAGGATAAAAACTATGGTAGGTAGCTACAATCCAGTTATAAAAGGTTACCTTTTCTTTAAAATCGATATTACTATGCCAGTTAGTAATTGTAGACTCTAATCCTATTAGCATCTCGCTAGAGTATGTTTCTATTGAAACATTGAATATTATATCTAAGTATTTTATTAATGGTTGTTGCTTTCACATAAGCGTTATCCATAATTGCCATCATATTGATAAACATTTTACTCAATTCAAGTCCCATAGTGGCAAAAATGACTTTGAAAACAAAGTCATCATCATAGTTTTTACAATCTGTACTATATTTTTGGCATAAAATAGTATGGAATAACATTTTTGGAAAGTATTTTAATTCTTTCCATTTTTCAATAATCAACAAAATGTCTTCTTTTGTAGAAACTTCATAATTATTGCTGGTCTTTGATTCACTCATAATATCCCTCATATGATCAATGGCTGATTCGATAATTTCAATTCTTTCTTTCGAAATTAAAAGGTTATCAAATAAGTTAACTAATCTCAACATATCAATTTTGTTTGTTACATGATGATTTGAGTCATATTCACCCAAGTACTTATTTATCTCGACTGCATCTTTTACAATATTCAGTGCAATATTCATTAAGAGTTTATCTGTAGAATCAAGAGTATTGTTTAGAATAACTTCAATACTCTCATTTAATTCCTTTAGCGACACACATTCTGTATTGCTGCTATTATTATTTTCATTGGTATTCTTTTCCAATGTTTTAATACAGGAAATACTGTTTTTCCTTTTAGTGTCATTACGATGCGACATAATAGAATATTCCATTACGCTGTCGCTTCCAGTATCTAATAAATAATCAGGATATTGTTCTCTATTAAAATAGTTTTTATAAACCTTATTATCATTTGCATCTTCTACGGTCAGAACTTCATTATCGATTACTCTTTTAGAGGCAATTCTTTGATTTTGTAATTTTAAACTATCTAGTAATCTGGGAAAGTTATTTATATTACAATAGCCGTAACTTTCAGCAATATCCTGGTTAATATTTCTTATTGTCAATGTCATTTCTTATCGAAGCAACTTTTAATAGTACAATGTTTTGTATCTTTTTATATTTAGTAGTATATTAAAGATTCCATTAAATGGAAGCTTAAATGTTAGTAAAATTTACAATTAACTTTTTGTGAGTTCTTTTATATAATCGGTTACAATACAAAAACATAAAATCAGAAGACAGGCACTAAAACGAATTACGATATGATTAAAGTATATGTATGATACTTAACTATATATGTGATTTAACTATAAAGGAAATAAATTAATGATTAATTAGTATTCCTCTAATCGAATAAACCGAAACCCATGTCATCGTCTTCTTCTTCTTCTTCTTCTTCTTCAGCGGCAGCTGGAGCAGAGTCAGAGGAAGCAGCAGCAGCAGCAGCTGGAGCAGCAGAAGCGTACTTGTCTGGGTTTTCAATTCTGTCAGCCAATTCTTCGATTTCTGGGAAGATGTACTTAGAAGCAATAGCGACGGCCAATAAGTCCTTGTAGTTGTTGATCAAGACGTGACCAACAGATGGCAAGGTTGGGTAACCGATAGCTAAGGAGATAGAAGCGATGACGGAGACAGCGGAGACGAAGTGGGAGACCAATTCATCATCAGTGATATCCAAGATGTTGGATGGGAAAACTTGACCGTTGTCGTAGACTTGAACAACAGTCAAACCGTAGGTGAATGGAGAGATGTTCAACAAGTTCAACAAAGAGGCTTCAGATGGACCGACCTTGTTACCGGCATCAACAACCTTGACGTCGGAAACAATTTCAATGGTACCTCTGGCAATCTTGGTTGGGACACCCAAAGCTTGGAAGAAAGAGGTCTTACCTGGTTCCATACCGGTGTTGACAGCTCTGACCCAGATATCTTCTGGAGCAACGGCACCAGCTCTAGCTGGAGCAGCAACCTTGTTGGCAACAATGACTTCTTTGATGTCTCTCAAAGATTCATTGGTGAAGATGAAACCAACGTTACCCTTAACGAATGGCAACAACTTTTCCAAGTCTGGCAATTCAGTGACCAAACCTCTGATGGCTCTTCTAACCATGGTGTTCTTACCCATTAAGACAACACCTCTGCCTCTCAAAGCCTTTCTGACTTGATGCATTTGTTGAGAAGAAACATTGTCGACACCAACGACGAACAATGACTTGTATTCTTCGAAGTATTCTCTTAATTTAGCGAAATATTCAACTTTCTTTTCACGTACGCCTCCCATTTTCAAATTTATCTGATTTGCAGGATGTTTAAAGGTTTTCCGATACTTTTATATTTAGAAGCTAAATAATAGAAAAAATGATAATAAACTATCCAAACATCAAAGCTAACTCTTAAATAATCGTCTCAATCCCATTTTTAATCAATTCTTTTAAACTAGAATAACATAAAATTTCAATATTGATGATGATACAATTACTTACTATTGGCAAAAGCTTCAAAAGTTTCAAAAGTTTCAAAATGTCAAAAAGGTGCGAGGTCGACCAGTTTTTGCGTTGGTTTGTTCGGCTTTTTCAATTCTTTCGGGTTTTTTTTTGGCATTCCAAGAAAATTTCAATTGCTTTATACGTATATTCTCTGGTGAACCATGGTCACATGATCAGTTTTCGCGTTATCTCTTTTTCAATTTGTAATTTTCACAAACAGACAAACAAAAAAATATGGTGTACTTCGGAATAATTTTTCAGAAGGGCGTTGTTTTACAAAATCAAATAATCTCTTTTTGGAAGTATATAATGATATGTACGGCTGTTGTTTTGTTGGGTAAATGTCGTGTTTGTTCATAGTGTGGGTTATGGATGTTTACAGTCACTTGAATTGTGTCTTTGATAGGTTCTCTGTACCGTTTATCTCTGAAATTGGTGTTTGCTCACTATTAATAAACTATGAATGGAAAATTCACTGGTTACAATTCAAGATTAAATTAGTGTCACAATGAAATGCATGTGACATCAAGACGACGTCAAGAAGTTGAATTAAATATATATATATATATTCAAGAATTTCAGTAGTGAAGAATGGTGGTGAATTTTATCCTAATGGATGGTTTGGAACGATGTGTCATTAGATTTCAATGAGAGTCCAAATTGACTTGGTAAAAAACTCGCTTGACTAAGTATAATATGGGTTACATACTATACAAATCCAATGAAATATTGAATCAATTTATATTTTTCTGTTATTCAATATTACATTTCTTATTGGCCTCGCTTTGAATCCATAGGCTACTAGGGATAAATCCAAGCCCATGGATCTTCGAAGAGGCCGTGCTTTCTTCAATACTTGAATAGTAATGCTGGACAAACTCTTTAGATACAAAAAAAACAAACCAACAAAATCTTGAGAAACTATTCAATTGTAAGTAATCCATACAATACCGAGAATATATCTGGTTCCTACCAAATAGTATACTCATAATTGTGATGGAACTTAACAAATTGTTCTGAAGACACTGTGTTTTATTGTTGTTTCTGTCATTCTAAAACAATTAAAAAAAAAGTTAGTGTCCATTTACTCTTTATATACGTTACTAGAGGTTACTATCCTTCTTTCTCGATAGCCACAAATTGTAATTCAATTCTAGCAAATAGTAACTAGAAACATCAATCCCACTTTCTTTCGTTTCTCTCGTATTTATATGAATAATTTTTTTTTATTTTTTTTGTTTGCCAAAAATTTGGTCGAATTCGAAAAATTGATCTTTTGTATGTCGTTGTAAATGATGTCGGTGATTAGATTTTTAAGAGATGAATAGGGTATAAAATCAAGCTCATCTACTAATTATTCTAATCTATAACCTATAATCTACTTGTTGGATGTGACACTGCTTCATTTATTGATTACTGAACTACAAATATATTTACATGAACGTTTCTCTAAAGGATACTTTTATTGTTAAGTTTTATTTTCATTTCTGAGGAGAAGAGGGATGAATAAAACAGGATACTCAATTGTATTCATTCATCCCATCCGGTTCGCCATCTTTTATCCCATAAATTACAATTGAATTTTTCTTTTCCTAACTTTTCGTTGACTTGATTATGTGCGTCACATAACCATCTTCCTAATTCATCTCTTGAATTGACCCTTGGTGCATTTTCTCTGATATACTTTTCGAAATCATCAGCACACCAATTGCAAGGATATATATGTGAAAAAATATTGAAAAATTGATTCATTTCACTCTTCTGTTGAGAGCTGGGATTCACTGGATACTTTGCTGCCATGCTATGTAAAAAATTCCATGTAGACTTACCAAGTTCATTGACATCTGGGGGATCTTGCTTTTCATAAATTTTAGATCCAGGGATTAATTTACTTGTCTTGGGTATATGATGCGTGCTTTTTGCACTGCTAGTAGATCCTACTGGTTTGCCAGTTATCTTACCAGTAACAAATTTAAAATCTTCTAATGTATTGCATGAACGACAACTGATTGCATAATTAGGTTAACCATATCTATCTTGTTAGTACCAAATTTTATAAGTATATATGGTAAAAAGGAAAGAACAAAAAATATAAAGGTTCTGTTGTACATACGGTTTCCCATCTTCATCATAAATAATCTTTCTTCCAGTCAAACCTTCACTGGGTTGATTTGATGACATCTCAACTATTCCCTATATATATGTATATCTGTGTCTGTGTATCTAACTTCTACTTCTCAAAACCTCTAGCTCTAATGTACAAACTCATGATCTTATTCTTAACTATGTATTAATTTGATTATTAATAAATGTTCCACCTCCCGCGAGTATGATATAGTGACAATTTAGGTATATAATATTATAGAAGTACAAAATTTATAATATTGGTAATAGAGATGAATGAGAGAAGGTTCAAAAATAGGAATTTATTTACGGAATATAAGTAACAATATATTTTATATGTATTTGATTGGCTCTCATTAAAATTTCATCAATCTAATCTAGCGATGTTGAAGAAACGGTTTGCCTTGCATCATTTTTCATATTAGCGATGAAGTCTGAAGTTTTCAATGGTCTCATCTTAATTTTTTTGTTTGTAACTTCTTCATCATTGGAATTCTTCATTAATTCTCTTTTTTGTCTAATATATTCCTTTGCCGCATTTAATGCAGCTTCTCTACAAAGTTCTTTCAAATCAGAACCTGACAATCCACTTGTATTACTTGCGATAAATTCTATATCAAAATCTTTCTTATCTAATTTGGTGTCTTTTAATAGTACGTTTAATATCTTGAGACGTTGCTCTTTATCAGGCAAACTAATTAGAAACCTTTTAGGTAACCTTCTCAAGAAGGCACTGTCGATATCATTTATACGATTAGTAGCACCTACTATCATAATACGGCCATTGCTAACTAAACCATCCCAAAGAGTCATAAATTCGGCCTTTAAAGTAGCTGTTACTTCGTGATCTGTTGATGTACGTTCTCTTAAAAATGAATCAATTTCATCAATAAATATCATACAAGGTTGGATTTTATTTGCCAATGAAAAAATGGCATCGACTATTTTATTTGATTCACCATACCATTTATCCATGATTGAAGACATTCTTATAGAAATAAAATTAGCTCCACTTTCTTTGGCTAATGCTTTGGCCAGCATTGTCTTACCGCAACCTGGTGGTCCATATAAGAGAACACCACTTGGTGCTTGTAGTAATGGATTATTTTCATATAATTCAGGTAACATTAAAGGGTATACGACACCTTCATGTAAATCTGAAATTATCGATTCCAGGCCACCAATATCTTTAAAACTTATATCAATCTCTTCAGAGGTAATTACAGATGTTAAAACGCTCTTTTCATAAGAATTCAACTCTAGATCCTTCAGTTCTGGGTTCTTTTCGATCAATCGTTTCCATTGTAAGTTTTGCCTGGCCTTTGATTCTTTTGATCCTCCTGAGAAAAAACCAAAGTCCAACTCCCTTAAATAAGGTTCTGCAAAAGTTAATCCCAATATAACAATCCCTGAATAAAGAAGCGTTTTATTGAAAGTAGCCACATCGAATTTAAAAGTCATCTTGCTACTTGATATATTGACCTTGATAGACAATACTAAAACCCTACAATAGCACTATATTAAATATTATTGTAGTAGGCAAAAATTGACTAACTGAACTTGATATATTAGGGCAAGTAAATAGCAAGTATTCCAATCTTTTTAATTAAGTGAATCACTTAGTTTTATACTTATTTTTTTATCACCTTTTTAAGTCCATTTTATTTTCCTTAGTCCAAGAGGTTTCTTATTTCGTGATTTGATTTTGATATCTTTCTGAAAAACCGGCTTAACATAATGACATAGTATAAATCGACAAGAGTTAAATTATTGGAATGTCAGACAGTAAGTCAGATGATTGGATAAAAATATTCTCTATCTGGTTTATTAATTTAAGTTGTCTTGTACTGTGTATTTTAGATGTCAATTATGTGTGAATTTTACTTCTAACTAATAATATTTCTTTGGTATAATAGAGTTCAAACAAGAATATAGAAGAAAAAAAATAGGTAGTGTTAGAGATTTTTATTAATTACTCTTTCTTTGATTTTATTATATTACATAAGTCCGAAAAGTTATCTTTGTCTTTATTTGAAGGGGGGGACGTATGATTCTTTTCATTTATAATTGGCAAATTACATATCTTTTTTGGCTTCATCAATAGATTTAATGAACAGACGACCATCTGCCTTTTGTTTAAATTTGACGATATATGTCACTAACTTACCATCAGAATCAATAGTAGGTGTCTTGACTAAGTTATCTTTTTCTGGAGCTAATGGAGTAAAGGAAAAGGATTTTACTACGCTGGAATTTAGCAGGACATTACCCATACCATCTGATCTACAAAGAAGTCTTACCTTTGATTTATCATCCGTTTTTTGTAAAACCTTCATTTCGCCTACACCTTTTGAATCATATGACTTAGTTTCGGTGTTAAATGTCATTAGTTTAGCTTTTTGTGTAAATAAAACGGTTTCATCTTCTTCACCGTTCTGCATATTGATTCCTGACGAACCTTCGCCTTCTGCAGATGCTTCATTATTTTCATGTCCAGTTTCTGTCGTTGTAGATTCAGTAGTTGAGATTGTTGATGCTGCAGTGGTTTTTGCTTCATCGTTACCACTTTTTTGTTCAAATGGTAATGAAAATTTAAATCCACCAGATGGAACAGCAGGTTTTTCAGAATTACCTGGGAAGGAGAATGCAGAAGTGGCTGTAGTTGAGGCTGATGTGGCAGAAGCAGGCTTCTCGAATGAAAATGAAGGGGCAGATGTAGAAATTGATGATCCAAATGCAAATGCTGGTTTAGATTTATTATTAGAATCGGCATCAGATGACTTGATACCGCCAAAGTTAAAAGCAGGTTTAGGCTTTTCAACTTCTTCTGGTTTGTTTGTTTCTGTTATTTCGGACTTCGTCGTATCTTTTGGAGTTTGGACACCAAACATAAAACCACCGGAAGGTTTGCTTTTATCTTCTTCTTTCTTCTCTTCTTTCTTCTTCTCTTCAGTTTTCATCCCACCAAACATGAATCCACCGCTTGGTTTGGTGCCTTCTGTAGCAGTTGAAGCAGCACCAAATGAGAAGTTTAGAGTAGGTTTTGAAGTAGATTGGGTTGCATTGTTGGAATTGTTACCAAATACAAAAGTTGGCTTCTTTTCATTGTTTTCGTTATTACTACTGCTGCTGCTACTTGGAGCAAAAGATACTTTCACAGCTTCAGCTTCATTCTTTTTGTCTTCAGTTGGCTTTACATTAAATGCAAAATTTGGCTTTGAAATTTCTTCTTCCTTCTTTTCAATGCTGTCAGCCGGCTTGGTATTAAATGCAAAACTTGGTGTCTTATTATCACTTGATGTAGTAGGTGGATTTGAAAGTTTGGATTGCTCACCGACATCAGGTTTCTTAAAAGAGATAACAGGTTGTGATCTATCGGTTTCCTTTTTACCTTCCTTTTCCTCCAATTTAAAAACATCACTCTTTACAGCTCCAGAAAAGGTAAATTGAGGGCCTTTGATTTCAACTTCACTCTCACTGTCACTATCAGCATCTTCCTGAACCTTTTTGGCTAATTCACTACCAAAAGCAAAAACTGAATCTTTTGATATTGGTTTACTTTGTAATGTAAATTGTGGGCCTTGTACCTTGATGTCCTTCTTTACTTCATCCTCGTCAGAAGAGCTAGATGATTCTTCCTCATTTTCTTCTTCTGCAGTTCTTTTTAAATTATTAAATGCTGGAACAGGTGCTGGAACAGGTGCAGGTGCTGAGATTGGAACTGAAACAGGAGCTGTACCAAATGCTGGCTTTTGTAGAGGAGTTCCAGCAGGTTTGCCAGCAGTTACAGGCGATGTGTTTTTAATTGATTTCAAATATTCCTTGTACTTATCAAATAATACTGATAAATCAACAAATGGATCATTTGAGATTGATTGAGAAACTTTCAAACTAAACTGATTATTCAATGCCTTTAATTTTGCAGAAGAATCATCAATTTCATTTTTATTATCCTCTTTCTTAGAAAAATTGAAAGCACCTGCCATCTTTGACTCATCGGTATTATTAGTAGGTAACTTGAAAGCCATTTTTCTTTTAGGCATAGCTATCTTTCTTCTACTCATCACTTCTGAAGATGCCATGGAAAAGCTTTTAGGAGTCTCATCGTCATCGGAATTTCCCTCTAGTTCGAAGGCTTCCCTAGTAATTTGAGCGCCTGCGTTTCTTTTGGACATTCTTTAATTAGCCACCTATCTCCAAATTGAGTACCTCTTGTTATGAACGAAAAGGTAAGAATAAAAAAAGACCTAATCCACAAATGCTCAGTTATAAGATATATAGTTATAGCCCTCTTAATGAGCTAAAGATGTCTTTAATTTCTTAAATTGCGAAGTTCTTTTAAAAGAATTTGAAATTAAATGAATAAAAATACGTGTAACGTGATTACATTTGGCTTTAAAAAATTTGAAAAAAAAGTTAAAATGAATTTTATTATGAGAAAAAATAATTACTCCGATACGGGGAGTCGAACCCCGGTCTCCACGGTGAAAGCGTGATGTGATAGCCGTTACACTATATCGGATACTTATTTCTTGTTTTTTTTATTTTGGATGAGCTTTTTTGTGAAACTTTTGTCATGCTTAATTCACGTGATTACACTTTTTTATCACATGATCAATAAATTGACATCTCAGCAGGACACATATATTAATAGATCATCACATTAGGCAACTTGTCAAATTAATGGGATTAGTAAGAGGTCTGGACAAAATTGGAATGATCTATCACAGAACAATGATATAGTTACCATTTGAACCATATTCTCATTATTGGGTATTTAAAAAAAAATGAATCATACATTAATTTTTAGACTTTGTATCATCATGTATATTGTGCCATTAATTATAAATATAGCAGATAAAGTATCTAGCTGCAAAATAAATTTTATTTCATGTTTTTAATTCTGATAAATAATCTTGCTTGAATGTGTCATTCATATCTTGGTATATTCTCAACTATATCTTGTTTTCATTAACTAAAAATTTACAAAAAAAAAGTACTGAAAAATAGCATGGATTGCAAAATAATCATAATATAATTTAGTGTTTTTTATAGAATATTGTATCAATAGCTTTATTTAAAAAGGTATAAAAACTATAAAAGTTAAACTGCCGTTACAAATGAATAGAAATTTTGTTTTAAGTAAAGAAAATTTTTAGCCCTAAAAATATAATAAATAAAAAAATAAATCCAAAATGAAATAATAAAAGAACCACTTTTATTTTTATGTCTCCAATAATTCTAAAGTTTTAATGAATTGTTAAAAAATATCAAATCATAACTTATTCAACCTTTAGTTATGATGATTTGGAGCATCATTTTCTTTAATACCATCTCTGATGGATGATTTCCAGTTTCTGGCTCTTTCGAAACCATTGCTGTAACTTTGGTAGTCATAGAAGACCTTGATCAACTTCTCCTTAGTTTCTTCAACAAATGGACCATGTTGAACAGTTTGTTGGTCTAAGATTTTACCACCAATGATGGCAAACTCAGTGTTATCGGCAGCGATAGTACCACCAACAGCATCACCATCAGTATTGAAAAAGATTGAAGAATATTGTGGGAATACTTGGTCACCAATAGTGATGGCACCCTGTAAAACATAAATAAAAACATTGAAATCTCTTGAGAAATTTTGGGTAAATTCAGTACCAGCCTTCTTACCTCTATACATGTAGAAATCAATTGGGGTGTATGCCAAGTCCTTGACAGAGTCTACACCATATGAGTTACCAGAAATAACTTCAACTTCCAAGTCATCAGTTGGGTTAGCTCTTGGAATTTCTTTATTCTTCAAATCTCTGTAACGAGGTTCGGTGTTCTTCATATCGGTTGGTAAATCAACCCATAATTGCAAACCAACAACATGTTCACCACTGTTGGATTGAACTGGCATTTCAGCATGGCAAATAGCCTTACCAGCAGTCATGAATTGTAAGTCACCCTTATATAAGACACCTTTACAACCTGTGAAATCTTCATGAGCAATCATACCTTCATTAACGTAGGTAATAGTTTCTTGACCATGGTGAGGATGATCTGGGAAACCAGCACCTGGCGCAACATTGAAATGATCTAACATTAAGAAAGGAGAGAACTTTCTCAATAGCATAGTACCAATAGATCTTCTAACTCTGGCACCAACACCTTCAGCTTGCTCACGGGCAATAAAGTGCTTAAAGATCGAACGTAGATTTTGTTGCTTGGACATTCTTGCTATGTGATTAATTGTGGATGGTTGTTTAATAGAAAATCTATTCCTAGTTTGTTTTTAGTTTTGTTAAATCTGTAAACTTAAAGTCTCTAATAATAAACTATACAAAAATTACTATATTGGAAACCAATTAAAGTTTTAGATTGATATCATTCTATTAATGACTAACTATTGAATACAACTAGAATAAGTATTAAATCTCGAAAAATAAATTTTTGAATCAAGTAAGAAAAACCAATCGTTTATATACGTTTCAATTTCCAATCTTTATCCATAATTATAATTATCTTGACACTTTCTTCTTGCTAGTTAACTATCAATTAATCCAGAGAAGCATGCAGTTATTAATCAATTACACATTTTGTTACTGTTGATTTAGTCAACTGTTTAAACTAGGAAATGGGTCCAAGTATCAGTGCCATGGAAGTGTTACTAACTGATTAGTGTTATTTAAACTTTACTTTTAGTAATAGTTGGTACTAATTAATTAAGTATGTTATGTATGTCCTTAAACAGTTTCGAAAACCTCCTGCACCTGCACTGCTCCTTATAGCTGTCTCTCTGTGGGTCTGGCGGACCATTCACCTAATCCATATAGCAACTGCAGAGATACACCCGTAGCATAACTTTTTTTTCGAAACGGTTATACAGCCCATTACTAAAAAACTGAGTGATTTAGTAATTTCCAACAGAGCCTAACAAACATTCAGAAAGCTATAACAAGACATCCATCCTAACCTCTAGCAACAAATGAACATTACAGCGATTGGGATAAGTTACCAGTTGCATTTGAGGTGGAGTTGGGAAATTGTATTTCCATGCTCCATGAACCTTACTGCCCCTTGGTGCAGATGGATAGATCGATTGGGTATTGATTAGGTATCAAGACAGAAGTTGATTTGATTAAGGATGTTGAAATAATTGTTATGTATTTTATTTAGTAAACCCAACTCCTCCATAAAACTACACCTTTCGACATCTATTCAAGACACCTTCCTTCCTTGTATGTACTATCTTTGCTTGATGGGCCTCTTTATTCCTTCGAGAAAGCTAAAGAAGGAGAGAAAGAAAGAAACAATTAAGGGGAATATGAGGGTGATTAGCTTCTTTCTTCTTTTTCCTAATCATCTTTATCAATTAATAAGAAATGACTGAGGCTAAATGTATCAAACTAAACTAAAATAAAATTCAGAGACATTCCACTAAATTTCATCTTTACTGTGGGATGCAACGATGGGAGTGGCTCTCATTCTGGAAAATAGAAAGTTTATTCATCTCTCTTCCTTTCTTTTGATCGACGGTTAAGTTAGCTATCAATCTCTTGTCTTGAATCAAGATATTTTCATTCCTCATTTGACAGTAGGAAAACTAATTAATCATCATGCTAATATTTAATAACTGTCCCGCTAATTGTTAGTAATTTATGTTCCTTCTTAGATGAGGCTATGATATACCCAACCCAACCTTTGGGCTTCACCTGGACGATATATTTTACCATGCCAAGGGATATCACTATACTTACCCAATAATTATCCATTTTGCATGCTCTTTACAGTTTTTATTTCAAGTTATATCTTAATTAAATTCAAGTAATATTCATCCTTACAAATCTCCATTTATAAATTTTTGATTCAACTTTCTTTGGTCAAGAGAATAAGGATATCTTGGGGAAAGTAGTGGCCGTACTTGTCTCCTTATACTACAGATGTGCTGAACTTATTTCAACCATTTTTCATATATCGACGTCAGCAATGGGAATACTCTTAAAATAAATAGAATTGATCATAGATAAATTCCTCGACATATCTATAGTATAATCAGCCAGTCAGTCACCAGGTTGTTGAGTGAATTAAAATATATCAAATAGGGAAATAGTTAGAAGTAGTTACTGTAGGATACTCTTTTGTTTCTATATTTTAAGTTTGAGGTTTGACAACACAATGATTAAGTTTAAAATCTTAACAGCTTTCAATCGTACGATCATTAAATACCTTCGATTACATGTGAAAAGAAGATAAATTCCAATCTTTATTATGCGACCCCATAGTTTAAACTTTAATACTATCTAAATTCTGGTTATTCGCATGGATTAGAGATACATTTGAAATATGAAAAATAGTGAGCTTTGGGGAAGATTTTATTGTTTAATCACTCTTGTCCCCCACTTTGCTTCACTAACTAAATACAACTTTTGAATAGAAAAATTATAAATAAAATTTAGTGAAATTATTGACGAAATAAATTAAATCAGTAAGCTATTTCGAAGTCATGGTGAGTCCTGATACCATAAAATATATTTATTTGGAAATAACAACAAACTTGGTCTAAATACAAGTATTTTCAACCTGATTGTTTAAAATCAGATATATTTGTTAAATATTAGCTTTACAGAAAGTGCTTCTTTTATTAGTGTCCAACAAATTTTTACTTGGACTTTGCTTTTAACACGATTCCCTTTTTTACACTTACTTAAGAATTTTGAACAATGTGGTAAAAAGTAGTAAAAATAGATCTTGGATATATGATATTATTATAAATTTCTAGTTACTGATTAATGATACGAAATTTAAAACCAGCAATTGAAAGATTGTATACAAATTTCATTAATGAATTATAATTAGTAAATCATAATATTGATAAATAATTGAATACATGATTAATGAATACTTATTAATAATTAATTCTAGAGTAGATTTTATGAAACATGAATAAGGGCAGGCAATGATGCCACTTCGAAATATATCTTTTAAGATGCAATTCTAGATGCCACTAATTCGTTTGACATTTTCGGAATGGTTTTAGTTTTGAATAACAGAAATATATTAATGCTTTAGGATATTTTGTTTGTTTGTTAGATCAGTTCTAATATATTAAAGTCATTATCTTCATATCTTGTATCTCAGATATATAGGATAGGATTGATAGATACACATATAAATATATAAATATGTATATGTATATATATATATATATATATATTTGATCACGTGCTTACCCGCACTTTTATAGGGTGATATCATTATTCACGTATTGGGATTGAAATAAGGAAAATATCGAACCGAGTAAAAGAAATTAGTATAGTATATTTGGAATAAATTCGATTGGATCGATAAAATGATTAATGAAATTGTAGATAAGAAGCTCATCTTATACCTTGAACATCCTATCCTTACTTTGAATTGAAGTCTAGCTGTATAAGTACGAGTTTTAGTTTTGGATCTTTCTCTAGGTTAATCTGATTGAGAAACATATTAATATTCTTCAATATAAAATCGTTTACCCAATTTAAAAGATATTAACATGGGTGCCCAACCTTCCAAGCCAGCTGAAACTAAAGTCTTTATACCCAGATCACAGGTAGATTTCTCAGAATCTTTGCTAGCTACCCTGGAATCGTCTACTGAAACCAATTTCACAAGAGGCCAAATTGCAGAAAGATATGTCGAACAAAGGGTTGCTGAACGTTTAGCACAATTAGAAGAGGATACTTTGAAGAAATTTGAAACTAAGCTAGATGCATCTTTATTAAATAATACGAGTGGTACTGATGAAACTGATCCAACCAAAAGTTTGTCCACCAAATTGTTAAATGATAAAATAGATGCCTTAAATAAAAGACTATCTGCATTTGAAGTAAGACAATTTGAAAAAGATGAAAAATTAAAAATATTAGACGGTAATGACGGTGCAAGAAAACAACTATTACAATGTTTGTTAGATAATGCAGGTAAACCTCTAAATTGTTATGACTTAATTCAACAATTTAAGAATACTGTGGCTAGTAACTCAAATTAAAATCACCTTGTATTTATTTCCATAAAACCAATCACCATTTGATTTTTAAAAATACTATTTCTAGCACAATATATTCTTATATATATTTGTACATATTCCTATATAAAATTCTTGTCACAAGACTAAAAACTCCAATTTCCAATTTAATTTTTTTATATTAACTATATTTTCAGTATATTAATTTATTTAATTATTTAATTCTTCAAAGGACATATAGAGAATATTAAAAATAATTAAAGAAAAATCTGATTACCTTAAGGAATGAATTAATTGAGAATAAAAAATAAATCACCTTGTTATTTACACTTAATGCCTTCAAAGGGAATATATGCAAATAACATAATTTTCTGAATTGGGTAATTGTTAAACAACACTCTATTTTTCCTAATTAAAGTCCATAACCTTTCGGAATTCTTCTATTGTATGGATTCGAATTGAAACGTTCTTTCATTAACAAGTTTGCATCCTCGAGAGTACTCTTTTCAAGTAACTTCTTATAAAACAATCCACAGGCATTACATAAACTAGTTGGTCCAGATGGACCTTTCCTCCATTCTGGAGTCTCAGTGTCACCACAATGGAGACATTGTCCAAATGGGTTACGATTCTTGTTTGAAGATGACAATTTTCCTTCTTTAATCTTTTTTGGGAGATGTTGTTTATTATTACACCTTACTCTCTTCTCGAATATAGTGTCATTTGAAGATATTCTTCTTTTTCTACTTAAAATAGAAGGCTTTTCCTCTAGTTTCGGTAAAGTGCATGAATTTTCTGTCTCTCCGTCATTGAAAAGTAGGTTCATTAGACATGGTCTATTGGTGGTAACAATTATGTCCCCCCGATTATCTGGAACTACATTTTCTATTCTTATTGGAGATATAGACAAATGATGAGTTTCAATCTCACATTCATCTGTCTGAACCTCTGGAAGTTCTTCTTCCCAATAATCTTCTTCATTATAGTCAGAGACAATATCAACCTCACTTTCATTATCCGAACCGCTGCTGCTATCATCATAATCAAAATCAAATTCTTGATGAACAATAATAAAATTAGGATCTTGACTACATATTTCAAAATTATAGTGGCATTGATTCTTATTGATAATATTCAGTGAATTATGGTCCTTTAAAGAAAGAAGGCCATTTAAGGCTTGATTCTCCAATTCATCGATTTTTTCAATCCTTGAAGTTGGATTCAAAATTACATTCATATTTGTTTTAAGATTGGCTACAGGATTATAAAATCTATTTGCATTAAAAAAATCTTTATCGTATGTTTCTGAGAATGGATCAAAGGAAAATGGTTCTGCTGACATGGAAGATCCGTTAAAAGCAGGAATTGAACAAGAAGGAGGTAAAAGTAAAGCAGGAATATTGGTAGTTTCTGGATCAGGATATACAGTTGGAATAGTAGATATCTCGAATCTTTCTTCGCTTAGTTTTGGAATAATTTTTTGGTAGAACATTATTTAATAGATTGTTTTTATAATTGATTGAGTCGCGATTGTTTTTTTTTCCTTTTGGAATTAAAGTGGAAAAAATAATGAGAATATATACTCCAATACTCCTCGACACTGATATTATATCTCCTTATTTATATCTCTTTTTATATCTCTTTTTATTTTGATTTTATATCTAGCCAAAATGCAAATAAATTGTGTCGTTGCATTTTTCATTCTACATATTAATTAATGACACTATCAATAAAACACTCTCTTACAGCAAAACTTTTTATTGCTATTCTTAAAATATATTTAATAAGTACATGAATATGGTATAAGTATGAATATTTGTTAAACTGTAAACCAAAATGCTATCAATAAAATCTCAAATGACAGCAATTTTGATTTGATTCAAAAAAACAAAATCGTATCTTCTCATCATAGAAACGTAAATACCAGGGAGAAAATGATAAATTCAGTTATTATAATAATATAGTATGTCCACAATAATATAAATAACCTTTTAACACTCATTATTCACCGACTATACATATATTTTGTGCTCTTTTCTAGTTCAGAATAGTTTGTGATTTGTGTGACGTTATAAAATCAATCCCCTTGTATCACTATAATACTATTGAGAAACGTTTAAAACTTTATTAAATAGGTATACAAATTCTTTATAAAGAAATAGACTTCAATTTTTAAGTATGTAGGCTGTATTTCTCTTGAATTTCAATCTCTTCTGCTGTACTATCGGGGTCTGGTTATGGAACTCGATTTTCCAATTCGGTACCGTAGGATGGGCAATATTTTAGTAAGTAAATGTTTTATATCTTCTAGAAAATATAATTCTCAAGATTTGAAAACTCTTTTCAGTTGTAATTGGTGGAAATTCAACTATATATACCTTAGAGAAGCTAAGTACGATACTTTTTCACTAATTGCTGTAAAAAGGTTACTTTTTAGATTAAATAAGATATATTTTACTCTGTTCCAGCTTACAAGTTAATGCATATTGATATTTATTATTCTAATGCTATCGTTTTATTTCACATATTTCTCAAAGTGATATTTTTTAGAAGGTTGGTGAACATTGAACTTTTAACTGGAATTTTCAAGGCTCTATACATTACAAATTGAAGGAAGAGTTTCCAACATAATCAGGTATCCCTATTACTCTAAAATTATTAAATTCAGTTTATCATTTATGAGATCTAATTTTTGTTTTTCTTTAAAAATGTATTATTATTATGTTATAATTTTACCTTTAGTAGATATTATTAAGTTTTCAAAAGAAGCAATCAAAATAATTAAAAACACTGAAGTGAAATAAGGAAAAAACTTTAAATACAAAATATAAATAATAGAATAAAACCACTAGAAATGTTTAAATATTGCTATGATTATATCATGAAGATGATTTCTATAGAATTCTAGTATTCAGAAGTCGATTTTATGCATACAATCATTATTAATGATGAATTGAAATTCTTGTTATTTATTAAATGAGAATAAGGGTGGTTATAAATAACTATTATGACATTTAGAAGAAATAATTACAATTGACATAAATAGGAAAATAATTTAAACTTAAAATATGTATCATCTATGTACTCCTAACTCTAAATGGAAATAGAAAATGATGGACATAAAAACCGTTTAGTAACAAATGTAAAGTTGTAAAGATAACAACGCCTCAATTGTATAATATAACTGATGATCCTCTAATATCAGGTAAAACATAACAAGAATTTATCGAGTTTGGATCACCTCATCTGAATGACAGAGTTATTTATCAGTGTAGGAATTAAATTCTTCAATCTTGCAGATAGGGATTTCAAAGTAATGTGACAATCACATGATACTACTACAGAAATATATTCGATAAGAGTTAAAAAAAAATGAAGGAAAAAGACAAAAACGAAACTGCGCAAGCCCGGAATCGAACCGGGGGCCCAACGATGGCAACGTTGGATTTTACCACTAAACCACTTGCGCTTGTTAATTTGTTGTTAGTTTGAATAAAATAGGAACCTCCAATTTTGTTAAAGATTTCTAAAATATGCTTTTCGTTATTGTGATTTTAGTAATTCATGAGCCACCATATGAACTATTACTAATGGATATAGTATATAGAAGGTTACACACTACATGAAAATTCATTTATCTTTCTGTCTATGTATCTCTGTCTCTCTCTATATAAATATACGTTGATAATAAAATATTTACTGCTTGACAAATCTCTTGATTTGAACGTTTGGCGAAGCAATAAGTTTTATTTTTGGACTTTAACTATATTACAAATCTATTGTTCAGAGGTGGTTTGGGAGTGGAAAGGAGATGGTAGAAGGAAATTGAAATAAAGAGGTTGACGCACAAAAGTTCATGAATTCTGATGTCCAATCACATGATATATGCGTGACACAATATAGGGTAATTAGATGTAACTCCACACCAAGGGGAATGTTAAGAGTAATAGCATCAATTGGGCATTGATCAAACAGTCCTTATTGGAATTATATACAATACAAATTATGCGGATATGCATCAACTATTTATTTCCATATTGTTCTAATATTTATATTTCAATATGTTGCCTATGTCATCATAAAAAGGTTAATTGGTAATAATGAATTTAAGTAACACTCCTATAGTATCTTTAGCTAATGGGAGGAGAAGAGTAGGGGTCTTTCCCTGACCAATACACAAATTGTCACCATATATATACGGATTACGTGTATTATTTGGCCTTTAATTATTATTTAGTTGTATATTGAATTTAGTATACGTTAGAATGAAGGCTGGTAGGCGTTTATTCTATAGGATCTTAAGGGTGGAGATCTGTAGGTTAAAGTAAATATACTTGTTAATAATAATAAATTTCTATATTCTTTTATGTACAAAGTAAGATACTAAATAATATACAATAATATACAATAATGTACAATGATCTCTTTAAATAGCAATATTGATAATATGACACCATTTATTGTAACGAATTACATCTCGACATTATCAAGGTTCGTACGATGTAACCTTGAAATAATACATACGATATATATCACATGTACCTGACAATCAAATCTCCGTCAATTGTGATCTACCACTGCCATTCACGTGACTCTATATATCCAGCATTTGAAAATACATATTTAAGACGTTTATAACAATGTTAAAATGAACAATAACATATTTCCAACTTTAAATATACCTCTAATAATCTACTGTACAATACAACACAATCTAAATATCAAACTAATGCATAATGCAACTTACTGCTGTATAATTTGCTTTATCAATCCAATTACTCCATCTGAACCCATCATCAAATCTCACGATGATTTTACCTAAACAAACTGATTTATCGATAACCAACGATAAGATCACCCACAAGACCATCAATTAGATACCATTATATATCATCAACAATGGAAACATATCCATCTATATACACTTTAGTTATTACGTACTATAACCAGGTACAATAACGACACTAGCATCTGCCATCAGCAGCCTTAAAAAATGTTGAAATTAAGCATCTATCTATCTTCCATCCCAGTTACAAATTTGAAATATAAAGAGGAAGAAACGTTAATGGCATTATTAATTGGTGGTTATTCAAATTGGTAACTGTACAAGAATATACACAGGTTAAAGTATTGGTATAACCTATAAGTGTACTATTAGATATAATTCTCTATTCTCACTATTATCTTAGTATTCGATCCAAATCAAAAAAAAAGGTGGTTGATTGTTGCTCATCCCATTAAAGATAAAGTCAATAAAATTTGGGAGTGGTTTGATTATAATTATTATATTAGAAGGAAGGGATATACAAATTTTATTTCGTTGATATTTTCTAATATAGGTTAGCTAGGGGTATAATTCCTATCTATTAATTTTTAAGGAATTATGAATGATAATGATTTAGAGACTCAGCCGCTTCTTAACCATTCTCCTGGCTTAAGAAGACACAGTATTGTATCAGAAAGAAGTTTCATAACCACTAAGAACCATTATTGGAGGAATATATGTTTAATAACGTTTAGTTTTGCATTAACAGCATTTATGGTACTGTTTTTGTTTTCAAAATATGTTCCAGCTGAAAATGTCATACAAGATAGCATTGTTGAAATATCAAAAGTAGATTTGGTAAGTACCCATATTGATGGGTGGACAGATGATGGGAAAAACCTTAATGATGATGGGGGCAAAGCTCTTCAAATTACCGCAAAATTAAATTTTTCATTAGATTATAATAAATGGATGTTAGAAAATAGTACGTCTAGTTTAACACCTTTTCAAAAAAATTTATTCCAATCAATTGGTAGCAATGTTATTAAAAAATTATGCATTAAAGTCAACAATATAACCACATTTGATGGTATTCAAAGTGATAAGAATTGGTTGGGATTTGTTTATCTTGACGAACCGATTTGTGTGGATTTACATAATAATACAGTGACTGAATTAAATGTCAAATTATTTTTGGAACCTGACATGGGTCATATATTAAGAGTTTTGAAAAAAATTTTGAAGAAAGACTATAGTGATTTAAATCTTTGGTCTTCTTTGTCTTTTTCACTTTCAAAACGTACAGATTCTTTGATTAAATTTAGTTTACCATTTGCCTCATTTCATCGAGTAATCATTCATTGGGATAGTATACTGAATTGGAAGGGAATGAATGCTTTTTTGACTGAGACAATAAATGAACTATCTCAAATTAGTATGGAGAATTTTAAAATGAGTGACTCGGATGAAGGCTTCCAAGTTCACTTCAATACAGAGGTAGGTAATATAATGAAAAAATTACCATTGATAGAGCTACCGCAGCCTGCACTTCTCTCACCCATCAAATGGGATCTGAGATTACCAGATTGCCATGATAATTACTCCATTAATTTAGCTAATGTCAAAACCTTCACAAGTGAACTTAATATTAGCGATGGCATGAACATCAGTGTCACGAGCTTTATAGAAGGTTCTTTTCCGAATTCATTATTATCATCTGTATGTTTTTCTGATGAGGAAAATATAGTGACTCCGATATCCAGAATCCTTAATAATGTAACAAGTAATTTAACTACGACAGCGGTTATCAAGGGTACCTTATCCAAAGGAAATGATAAGAATTATATATTTCCGGATAAGATTCTTCAGGACATACTTGATGAATTAGATTTTTTGCCTGTAAGTTCTAACATTACTATCGATACCAATAATTTAATTGAAAATTTCACAATTAAAGATATGAAAGTTAGATGGGTAAAAGGTAGATTGGGACAAAAAAGATTGAGCGCTGTGGGTAAAGTTATGGGTACGATAAATCTACCATTTTACGAGACTACTGAGCAACGGATTCAAGTTAAAAAAATAAAAGGCACTTTGGAGCTATTCCATAACGAAGTATACTTTTTAAACATACCAATGAAAATTTGGTATAATGCATCCTCTGAGATCATGCACGATCAGAATGACAATCATACTTTAATGGAAATAACTCTTGATATCCCAGATGATGAAGTCGAGGTAATTGACCGTTGGGAAATCACAAAAGTTTTTAATGAAATTTTATTCGAGGGGAAATCCACAGTACATATTAAGGCTGACCTTGACCTGATAATTTCTAGCTTTTTAGGTGATATTATATTACTGGGACTAAAAACAGAAAATAATGTTATAATAGAATGATTGCTAAATGACAAATAACATCTTTTTTTAACTTTAATGCATTGCTGTTTACATTTAAATCTAATATATTATGCATACCCATGGGGTTGATAATTACATTTATAAACATATATTCAATATTATTAATACATAATTTTTCTTCATCTTAGATTATTTATCTATCATTCATTTAATTAAAATAACTATCTAGTTTCGTGATATTCTTCAATGCAGTATTTGGCAACGTCTTTCATATATCGATAGTCCCTTTTGAACTTCAACAGTTTACTTTTAATATATGTTTTCAAAGAGATATCGATTTCGGGTGCTTGTTCCATCAAATCAATAGTCTTGATCGTTTCTAACCCGGTTATTAAATTTTGAGACCTCTTACTTCTAGAATCCTTAATACATTTTAGCAGAATAGTACCGGTAAATTTTTTAAGCCCATTTTTAAATTTGTCTTTATTTGATAGATTGAGCTCATCTTCTGAAGTTGGATTGAAATATAACAGAGTAGGAGGTGGTAAACTTTGCACTTTATTAAGCCCAGAATTGTCAGGAGTCTCTGTAATTTTAAATATAGGAGGGTTAGGTTTCTCAAATATTGGTGTTGTCGCAGTAGGTTGAGTCAAAGCAGAAGGTAACATATTTCCCGAATGAATAGCAGAGAAAATATCATTGTGAGTTCTAATTGTGCTGATACCAGATGAAGACGTAAATTTGACAGTCTCTCCTAGGTGTGGAAAAGTATCAATGTTTGATTCTCTCGATATTAAATTGCTTTTATTCATATTCTTGTTCTTCTTATTTTTTTGAAAGACGTCAGGATTCTTAGTGACAGCTGGTACAGCTATTGATTCATTTGTATTAATAGAATTCTCTCTAAAAATATCTAGAAACTTTGGATTTTTAGGAACTGGTGAGTTATTTAGAACAAACATACTTGAATTATCATTTTCCTTCTTTGGAGTTCTCGAAAGAGTGCCTATGAATTCTTTTTCAAAGGGCTCTCTCCATATGGTAGATAATTTAGTGTCACATTGGGTTAATAGAAGATCTGACTTATCAATGAATTCTAAAGGTTTTCCATTATCAGTGATTAACTTGAATCTTGAGAACTTTAATTTAAATTTGAATCCAATAAACCCATATGAATCAGATAACTCCGAATAAAGTTTTGGGAATGACATTGGAATAACTAACATCTCTGTCTTTGGTTTAACAAAATTAGATAGATTATCTGCAATTTCATAAAACAAATATTTCTGAATATGGTTCCAATCATTAAATTCTGTGTTTTTAAAATCTGGTTGCAACTCAATAATGCAATCTTTTAAAGTTTCAATTAAAGTATTTTTATATTGCAAAAATTTACAATAAAGGTCTTCGTATATCTGAATAGACAAATGATTTGTGTCATTTTCAGACAGACCATTTATTAATATTGGAAGTTCCATTATATATATCGTTGGACATTGTTCGATATAGTCATAAACATCTTCCATCTGTTTGATGTATAAAATCACAATAAACAAAAGCTCTAAACATTCGGGATGGTTCTAATGGAGGAATCTATTTCTAATCGAGCCAAATCGTCCTTATAATAAACGTTTCCATGACCATTTCCTGGATAAAACCTAATTTGGATGGAAAGGTTCTTAAGTTTCAAATTAAAAAGTTGAAATACTTTCCACAAACATCAATTAACTCCCCTGTTCTTTTGCACCCAAGTATCACAAACCCTCCCGCCACCACGAAAGGTCTAAATTTTCCCGGCCAAATTTCTTAGTCTTTTTGCCCCTTCCAAAAATCATTCACAATTCCCTAACGGGCGTCGGTAGAATATAATTTTTAAAAGGAAACTCC